TTATGTTTTGAATATACTAAGTTGTTTTCCTGTTGTTTACTGTCCATGGTACATGAAGAGAATAGATTATGATTAGCAAATAAACTACTAGAACATTTAGTATTGAATAATTCAATTGAAATGCATTTATATGTGCAGACAACATGCAGTAATTATTTGTAGTCATTCTAACTAAAGAACTGTCCTCAGAAGAAATAATATCCCTTCTGTAATATGTTCTGTGGCTTCTGTGAATGACCCGTATTAATTCAGTTTCTAGAAACTGCCTCTTTAAATTGATGTTGGTAACTGCTTCCATGCTAGACTACTGAAATAAAGGGTATTACATCATTATCCAAACACGTCTACTTAAATAAAAAGTATTTGTTTGCAAAAAATATATATATTTTCAATCTTTCACACAACGTTCAGCATTCATGACATTTTCCATTTCAGACTAAGCATACATTTCAGATGTGGAAAAAGAAAGCATGTTGAAATAATTTGAGGCATGGGTATAGTCGGATCAGTCTTGGTAATCCAGAAGGGAGGGGTGCCCAGTGTATTATTACATTTCGTATATTATTTTTCAAGAGATGGATGTGATCAGTCATCTTCTCGCATATGGTCTGAAAAAGAATTGTCTTGCTGGCAAGTAAGCTGTTATTTAAGTACACAATCCACATTACTTCAGAAACAGTTTTGCCAAACTTGTCCAAGTATTCTCACACCCTTAAAGATGGTATAAATATCATTTATAGCAAGCCGTTTACTTCTGACTATATGGAATGCCTTCCTGCTCCCCTGATCTAAGTGTCCCAGTTTGCATTATGGCCTTTATTGCTTCTGTTTGATGGAGTGATCAGTAAAAATTTAATGACACTATAAAATAATAAAAATGTCATTAATTTACCACGGATCTTGGATGCAGTGGTTGTAAAGTTACATTAATAAACAGAATATTTTTTACAACAAAAAGCATTGTTATGTGGGAACATATAAATAACACACATAAATTTAAGAGCAATTTTACTGTTAGCACACACATTATAATGGAATAGCCAATAAGTGTATAAAACATAGTATATAAAATTTTATGAAAATATACTGTGCACATCAAAAATTCAGCTTTCATCTAAGTGTAGAGAAAAGCCATTATTGTGTGCTTACTGCTTCATTGCTGTTCTTTCACAAGATCACAATTTTATATTTGTTTCTAGTCATTTAAAGTTTGAAGCCTTTTCAGAAGTAGAGGCTACTGCTTCCTTTTCCTTTACTCGTTGCTTCACTAAATCATTCTTTTACCTTCCACATGTGAAGAAAGAATTGATACTTTCTGCCAGAACGTGACGGGAAAGTTGCTAATTTAATGCAAAGCTAAAAATAATGCCAAAGGGGTTGAAAGGCTTGCTTGGCGACTCTGGAAAATAAGGGATAACTATCTAGCAGTCTATCTGTCATCACTGGGTCTGCTCCATCACTGACTGTGATAATATGTGAATATGATGGATGCCACAGCCTTGTGGCTCATAACGTTTAACATTCATCAGCTCTCACTAACGGGGGCTTTATAATTTAAATATCTTTATTTAATATGCAACATCTACCTCATACATCATAATTTCAAAGCACTTAGAGAACCAACAGTCCTGCAAGACGGTTGAGCAGACTTTAATTTTTTCAATAACTTTTACGTTTTCTGCATGTTTGTGACTGACAATGCATAAATAAGTGCCTAATCATATCACAGAATGGAAAATTGAGATTTGGCTGCTAAGAAGAATCTTTTTGCTCTTCTTTTTCTCATTTTAAAGAAGTGATTACTTTTACTGTGTGTTCAACATATGAAAAGTACAAAGGATCTGAATCATGCTGGAAAGAGCTTTCAGTTTTCTAGCACAAACTCCAATTGACTGTGTTGATCTAGTCGTGAGAAAGGGTTGTCAGTGTCATGTCCTAAACCTTTTTTCTGACATTTAAATGGGAAAACTTAATGTGAATATACAGTATAAGCTCCGTAGCCAGCACAAAAAAAAAAAATAAATAATTTCAAAACAGAAGTCTAAAATGCTCTTTCACTATAAAAAAAAAAAAAGAAAATACCTGCACTTTATTACAAACTCACTGAAATTTTCTGGTAATGTAGATTAGGGAGGTAGTATATATCCAACAGTCGATGTACATATGTGCAAATATAATACACGTGTAGGGAATATAGTTGTTATTGCAGACATGTATAGCCATTTACTTTTAATGAAGGTAGATCTTTTTTTTGTTCATATAGAAATTTTATGTACAGAGTCAATTTTCCTCTCAGTCCTTGCTCATATTATTAAAAAGGTATACCTATAAAGGATTTCTAGTGCAAGTAACTATTCTCTTCAGGATGAATGCAAGATGGGCACAAAGACAAATCCCATAAAGAAAGGACTGGAGCCTAGTGGCACACGTTTCCTCTCTAATAATAAATTTCATATAAATTTGTGGTATTTCATGGAATTGTAAAGGCATCTACTAGATAAAAAGATCATTAGTATTGGGAAATATTTTTTATTTTTTACAGTTCTCTGAATTACTCTAAACCCATTGGAAATATTAATTTTTTTTTTAAGATGACTATGAAGATTATTTGCAGTAAAAAAGCAAGCAAAGGAATGACTTCAAAAGGCATTTCAAAGACTTAAATACAGCTAGCTTTGTTACTGCTTTTTATGAATTAGAAGGAAGAGGTTACTAAATAACCCTAAGTACATCATCTTTGTTTGACAAGAGCAGGTATTTTTTATAGTGTAAGTGCTATCATTTTACTGTTCTTGAACCTTATAATGTAATTTTCCCTTCTTCCATATCAAAATATTGATATTCTTCCAGAAACTTTCTTTTTTTCTTTCACCTTTTATTTTTTAGCAGAATATGTTTTGGTAAAATCAAAGAGAATGAATGACTACAGATATATTCCAAATTTGCAGATTGATATGTAGCAAGGTCTGTTGATTTTTGTAGTAGAAAGGTATTTCTCCTTCTTCTGAAACACATTTAAAAGCTGTTTTTCCAAGAATACTGCAGGTACTGTATTAACATACTTAAAGCTTTCAGCACAAATATTTTGGAAGAGACACTATATGTGCCAAAAGCTGTTTTTATTTAGTACTGTTCTTTGTTTTTATCTCTACTGCAAATCAGCCCTTTGTGATGGAACGCAGGATTCTTGACAAACTTACTTTTTATTCTGTCTAGCAGTATAACAGATCCCATCCTGATGATTCAGGTGTATTGTTACATCGCACAACATCTTTCAGTAAAATATTGTGTCTCTAGTATTGCAGTGCCTTTCTGCAGTCATATTACTTTTGTAACTCTTTTCTTATGAGTCCCTTCTATATGTAAGCTCTGTCACCAATCGCAGATTTTATAGAAGAAAATAAGAACTTAATCAAATATAAAATGCAGAGTTATTTTGTTCAACAACTGGAAAGGTCTGAGGAATTTTTAGAAATGCAGTTAGCAACTGAAATGCCTCAGCTGCATGTTGTGGCAAATCCAGTGTCAGATTTTCTAGTCTTCCTCTACAAATTAAACAGAGAATAATTTAAAAAAAATCCATGGCTGATGGAATCAAAAGGTTGAGGAATCGAAAGAATTCCTCAGTTGTTGGCCTAGTAGAGTTTTATTACTGAAAGATAATGATAATAGGGCAGTAACCACACTGGAAAGAAGTAGTATTTGGAGGTGGAACAAAGGTGGAGTCAAAGCCATCAAGTATGGGGGGTTTTATTCCTTAAGAATATTTCCAAGTTTCTAGCCATCTTGCAGGAAAAAAATTCCTAGTGTTTTCTTCTTATGTCTAGTATGCACAGCACAAAACTAGGTCATTGAACAATAGACTGAACAGCAGTCAGCACTCTACTTCTGCATAATGCATTAAGTATAACATGGAGAAACTGTTCATAGAGCTGAAAGCTGGTATTTCATGTCTGCAAATTCAAGCTGACATGACATTTAATATTGTTTCATAGTAATGAACAACAAGGTTTCATTCTTTCACAAGTATAACATAATGCCAAGTTTAGTCTGAAGAGGTAACAACAAGGCAAGAGGGAAAGCATGCTATGTTCCTTCAAATGAGAACACTAAATTAATGATAACCATTGAACACTTTGCTACTGATACACAGTACTACAGAGACTACTATTGTGAGACAATATTACAGTGGCATTTATATTCCCTTGTCCAATAGTTGACTGAGGAACTGGGCTAACACATAAAATACCTTTCAGTTTTCACCTTCTAGTTCCAGGTTTCTTACTGAGGTCTCCAGCTCTCAAAAGCTTTCTTTTTTAATAGGACTGTTCATTCATCCACCTCTCCCCCCTTTTTTTTTCTTTTTTTTTTTTTTTTTTTAATCCCCTCAGGTTCTCTTTCCACTGAGGTACAATTTAAATTCCTAGACAAAATAATAATATCAGTTCTGTCATCTATTATTCCTTCTTTCAAACACTTGTCTTAGAAAATCTCTAGTATAAAATTCAAACTTGTGTTTTTTCAGAGGTATGAACACAAACTTGAATCTCATATCAGGGGAAAAGTGCTTTTTCCAGTAAATTAGCAGTATATTTTAATACAAACTTCTTTCGACTTCTGAATTTTCATGTCTCCAAATGTTGATTGTCTTTTCCAGTTTAACTTAGAAAGCAAGTGGAAAGGCAAAGTGAGCAGCGTCGATCAGCACTGTTGGCTGCCAAGAGTGTTTTGTATTTGCATGTACAATTGCTTATGCATTATGGCAATGCAGATCAAAATAATCTCAAAGTTTCTGTATATGTTTCACATTTAAAACTGATTTTCATAAATGCAAACATTCAGAATCTGTAAAAATTTTCCCTGAGTTGAAATTCTAATTAAATGCATTCATTATTTGTTCAGATTTTAAAAATAAGGCATGTATCAGTGGATACACATATTCACAGGCATAGAATAATTATCCTATATGAAGCATTAAGACTGCTTCTGTTCTTTTCCAGGAGAGAACAAGATTTGAAAATTTAGGCCCACAGATAACAGGGAAACCAAATGAAGACGGAAAACTGGGCGCTGGTGTCATTGATCTTACAAGGCCAGAAGATGCAGAAGGTGAGTTACAATTTTGACTGGGGGTTTTTGAACACTGCATCACAGAATGGTGTGGCTGATATGCTGCCAGTGTCGTAAGTCCTGTCTAGCTTACATCACAGGGTAACACTTGAATGATTTCTGTGTGTTTTTGTGAGACTGTAAGAAGTCCACAGTAAAGGGCAGATACATGGGGCCTACAAGGATCCTGGGGAGGGACTCTTCATTAGGGACTGTATTGATAGGAAAAGGGGTAATGGGTTCAAACTTAAACAGGGGCAGTTTAGGTTAGATATAAGGAAGATGTTCTTTACTGTGAGGGTGGTGAGGCACTGGAATGGGTTGCCCATGGAAGTTGTGAATGCTCCATCCCTGGCAGTGTTCAAGGCCAGGTTGCATGGAGTCTTGGTTGACATGGTTTAGTGCGAGGTGTCCTTGCCTATGGCACGGGGGGTTGGAACTAGATGATCTTAAGGTCCTTTCCAACCCTAACTGTTCTATGATTCTATGAAAAGGACTGTATAGTCCCCTAAACGCTTCTGCAACACAAGTAAATTTCCCCCAGCAGTTGTTATTTAAGTGATTATACTATTAATGAAAGTGTAGGAAACATGGAGAAAATTCTCTTAGTAAGACAATATATACATATCCATTTTTTCACCAGTTTTTAAGGCTTTAACAGCTTTGAAGAAAGTTAGAGCTCTTTAAGAAGTCTGCCCGTCAATGCACTCACAAACTATTCAAGATATAGCAAGCACAATTTTATTGACAGGCAGCTGTCAAATGATAATGGAAAAATATTTCACATTTTCTATATGAAAATGTCTTTTTCATTATATAAGCCTTCAGTGAATTTTCAGTCATTTTAGTGAGAGATCTATATATCAGGCGTACAGTTTCAAGCCAAAGGTGGAAATCGATGTTTATCAAGACTGAGTTTAGTCTCTAGCAAGGTTACCATGCACAGTCTGGAAGCGAGTGCCACTGATATCCTCTCTACCCTATGATACATTAAAAGTGAACATGAAAATAAATAGGAACCCTACTAGTTAGGGTAGTAAGATTAATATACTATTTAGACAGACTATTATGCAGCATTTTGCCCCCTCAATTTACTTCTGTTTGAGAATCATCCTGCTCTTTTTAAACCTTACAGCTTCTGTAAGTTCTAGCTGTGCCACTGTTCTTGAGAAAAGGTTAAAACATCCCTAAATTTTTCCATTGGATCAATAGAATAGGACCAATAAACTTGTGGTTGTTGACAAACAGGATTATTTTCAAATTATTCTTGAAATACCAACAGAATTTTTCTGATTAAAAGGCATTATTATTTTCTGTATAGAGAAATATTCTTATGAGCACATTTTCTGTTCTCTCTGTGACCCAGAATTAAACAGTCCAGGTAATGTCTCACAAATTGTCCCTTCATTTTGAAGTCTGACAACAGCAGTCCATGTAAATGTTATGTTTTCTTTACTGTAGAGATAGTACATGATATGCTTGTGATAAAACATCTTAGAGCCCTGATTCTCCTTGCTTGCCAACCAACATACATATCTTTAATCAGTCTCTAGGCAAACAAAAAAGCTGAATATAAAAGTAATTTGGGCAAGGACTTGTATACAGTGGAGAAGCTGCAAGTTCAGATCCAAGATCCAATACAGGTCCTGTATTGACTCATCCATACAGAATAGTTAACTCTCAAATTCAATTCAGCAAACTATTTCTACTTATTGGCTTAATATCATGATTAGCTTATGACATAGAACTGACAGAAGCACAGGCTGACATGTTTTTTTGCCCATTTTTTTTAAATTATTTTGACATAGTCAAAATTTCAGGTCTTCATAACAGTAAGATGATGACTGAAGCTCATCAGCCATTTGTTACAAATAATACTCAGAAGGAAGCTAGCACCTTAATAAGGCATTTCTGATTTTCCATATCTATTTTGCCAATAGTCCTTTATAAAACCAATAAATTTCAGATTCCCTTATTGTATGTGTATGTGTGTGTATTGTATTGGGCACTCCAGTATTGTCTTAAACAGAAAAACAATGAACCGAATGTAGGTAAAAAAATAACTTTCAGACAGGTGTTTTGCAATGACTTTTTTTTTTCCTAGAAAAAAGGACTTGGAGACACATGGACTTTCCAAATTACTTGTTGACTAAACAGTTATTTATAAACTACTTTGTAAAGGAATTTCCATCCTGTGCCAACTTCTCATATTTCAATGTGTTGAAGGATATTTATTTCCCCAGTTGGGATGAAAAGTTGCAATAGAATACTTACATATACACAGTTACTGATTCATTTGACATCAAGTCCCTGATGAATTTCTTAGTTTAGTTCACTTCCTTCAATTCATCCTTTCTAGTGTTCTTAATTTAGTATCTTGATACACTTTGTAGTAGTGACATTCCCCATGTTACTGGATAGTGCAGAAAGAAGCTTTGACATATGTAACCCAAGCTACAGTGATGTGTGCCATTTTAAGGACAGTGCACATGTCTTTCTAGAGCTAGTAAGGGCAGTTTGAGGTATGGTGTGTTGCCACATGGGAAATCTTGAGTTCATGAATGGATTCAGATTTCCAGACTTTGTTTAGCAGCCAAGAGATGTCTTTGGAAAAGAGGTGCTGGATGAATACCTCTGCTGATCTGAAAAAAAAAAAAAAATGTTGGTGGGAGTTCAAAACCAAGCTGCTTATTTGTCCTTCTAATTGTAGACAAGGTGAATTTAGATATTGGCTAGATAAAAAGCAAAAAAGACATTCAGAGTATCACTCAAGTTTTGCCCCTTATCTTTGGCAAGCTAACTAAGAGATAACACTTCTATCATGGCATTATTTAGAGTAGAAGTCCAGTGAAAACAGTGCTGCTGAAATATCAGCACTTAAACCGTGTGCTACATACAGACTCTGTTAATCTTCAAGAATATTAATGCTTATAACTGTCATGAAACTATCACAGATCTTTCTAGGTTTGGCATGTCACAAAGTTTTTTATATGTGTTGCTATTATTTTGTGCTTCCATACACGTCTCTTTCAGCGCTGGCTTATTAAGAAACTTGTCAACTTATTCTGTAGAAACACAGAATCGTTTAGGTTGGAAAAGACCCTTAAGATCATCAAGTCCAACCTAACCTAACACTATCAAGTCCACCCTAAAGCCTAAGTTCCACATCTATCCATCTTTTAAAAACCTCAAGGGAGGGTAACTCAAAAACTTTCCTGGGCAGCCTGTTCCAGTGCTCAATAACCCTTTCAGTGAAGAATTTTTCCTAATATCCAATCTAAACCTCTCCTGGAGCAACTTGAAGGCCATTTCCTTTTGTCCTTTCACTTGCACTTGGTAGAAGAGACTGACCCCCACCTTACTACAACCTTCTTTCAGGTAGCTGTAGAACATGATAAGGTCTCCTCTGAGCTTCCTTTTCTCCAGGCTACACAACCCTTGTTCCTTCAGCCACTCCCCGTAGGACGGATTCTCTAAACCCTTCACCAGCTTTGTTGCTCTTCTGTGTCCTCCTCTTAGAGAGCCTCATTGCATTTAGTGTGTTGCAAAGATCACAGTCTCAACTGAATGTCAAAGGTTCCTAATAGCCACAGTCGTATTCTTCAAAGACCTAGTGTGTTTCACACCTTCCTGTTTTGTCATTGTTACTTTAATCTTTTTTTTTTTCATTTTTATTTTATAGTCCATTTGAGTACAGGTTGCTATAGACATCTTTAAACATTATTTATGTGTTTTGTTGTGTGCTTTTACACAAATAACATAGTCACATAGAAAATAAAGATTACTGAAGGACTCCAAATTTAGTCTCGCTGCTGGCCATAAACTGGGAGGAGGTGCAGTTTGGGCTGCATCCTGATCTCCCAGCTGATCTACATCAAGGGCATTATAGAAGTGCAGTTCCACTCCCTGCCTACCTGCACACTTGCATTCCCATAGGAAACTAAAGTGTGCAGAGACATAATACACGTCTGCCTTATCCCAACAGGCAGCCGAGATAGACCAGATCTGCAAAGTGCTCCTCATTCCCATAGTTTTGACATGTCCTTTAAGGTTCAAGTAATTCATTATAAGAAATATCAGTACATTTCTGTTTTTTATAGAATGTCTTTGTAATAGTATTTAGCAATGATTTGTCTCCCTATATTTTTTTCTATAGCATATGGCAGCGATCTGAGTTTGACAAGGTCAGAGTAATGTTTTTCTTTTATTTTTGGAGCTCTTGTGGTGCTAGCTCATTGATCAGAAGCTGAAGCTACTTTTTGGTTTTTTTTTTTAATTATGAATTATAAGACAAGTCTTGAAATTCTTTAAATTTAGCTATGTGCAATTATAAGACAAATATAAAAGGAGACTAAATAATGACTTTTTAAAACTTAAGTTGTCCCTTCTCAGCGTGTGAAACTTTTTTTAAGATTAGGGGTACCTAGGTGTACTTTCATAGATGACCTAGCATTCAAAGTTGTATTCAAAGCTTGTGTTATTCATAATGACCTAACTGTCATCTGAATGGAGGCCTGAAAATTTTCAACAAGAGGTTTAGATTAACTATGACATAAACTGACATCACTATTACTTTCTCTAGCCACCAACAGGACTAGGCTAGCAATATTAAAAATCATGGTCAAACTGTATTCTAAAACATTACCACTGACTGGGACACCACTGATGAGTAATTCACAGCTATTAGACTTATATGATTACCTGGAAATCTAAGTTGTCATACTAAAATATATGATACATTTGTAGCTAGCAAAATTCAAAAACATGATTTGGGAGCCTCATAAATGTTCTGTGACTGGTATGCAAAATTATAAACAACAGCCAATTATAGAACTAAACAATGATTTTTTTTCTCCAAACCTCATAATTCTAAAAGAAACATCATTCTTTCTATAGACAGCTTCATAATATTGAACATTTGAGATTGTCAGTACTGAAATACAGCTAGCTGGCATGGACACACCAAAACAGCTTTGAATCTAGCTATAGCTAAAACCCTT